TTCCCTAACAAAATTTTCATCTGTTATTTTGGAAGGCTCTGAGATATATCAGGAAACGTTAGCAAAAGCGCTTGCGAAACATTTTGGGACCAAATTGATGATTGTTGACTCTCTTTTGTTACCTGGGGTAAACTTCCATTTAGCCTTTATTCTCTTTATCTTATTTGAGCGGCTGATTTTATGCATATTTTTATCAATTTTTATTGTCTATCCTAAATTACCGAGCATGTTGGTGATAAATTGGCACTTATGACTATTAGTTCCAAATGCCTTAGAACCTATATCTGTCACGTCAGTCTGTTCACTTATTGGGATTTACACAGTACTGCTAGCTTATTATTATCTGCTGTTTCTGGATGGCTTCAGGGACCGACAGCCAAGGAAACAGATTCTACTAAAGAAAGTGTCAGGCGTGAAAGACTGACTGTGATTGCTAAACGAGCAGTACAGGCTGCACAAGCTGCTGTTTTGCAGCATAAGAAACCAACTTCAAGTGTTGAGGCTGATATAACAGGTGGATCAACATTTAGTGGTCAGGCTATTCCGAGGCAAGAAGCGTCAACTGCAACCTCTAAAAGTTACACCTTTAAAGCAGGTATGGTTGCTTATGTCTTATTTTTCCGTTTTGTTATTGTGCCACTTATGTGTTGCTGAACAAGCACATTTATAATTCTTAGGTGATCGAGTAAAGTATGTAGGCCATTCAACTTCTTCACTTACTTCTCTTACTTCTCTCCAAGCTCCACTCAGGTATTGTTTGTTGTTTTTCTTCTCTTCTTCTGTTTGCAGTCTTTTCATCTGATGTAGATTGTTGTTATCAAAGCTCAACTTTACTTCTTTTTTCATGCTATTCTCTTTAGGGGACCGGCGATAGGTTTCCAGGGCAAAGTACTCCTTGCGTTTGAAGACAATGGATCTTCAAAAATCGGGGTTAGATTTGATAAGTTGATATCAGACGGCAATGATCTTGGTGGTCTATGTGAAGAAGGGCATGGTTTTTTTTGTACTGGTAATTTCCGTGCTATTATCTATACATTTGCATTAAAAGTTTTAATTGTAGTAATGACATTCTTCGTGTGCAGCGAGTTCACTTCGGTTAGATAGTTCTTCCAGTGACGATGCTGATAGACTTGCCATTACTGAAATCTTTGAGGTAGTTCTAACCACTTTTTGTTACTTCTCTATTCAATTTGAAGAGTACTGCTTAGTCCTAGTAGCTACAAACTCCTTTAATCTTTTTGAATGATATTGTAGGTGGCTTCTAAAGAAAGTGAAAAAGGGTCATTGATATTGTTCCTGAAAGACATTGAGAAATCTCTTTCGGGGAACACAGATGTGTACGTAACTTTGAAGAGCAAGCTTGAGAAATTAAAGGAGAACATCGTTGTCATAGCCTCACAAACACAGTTGGACAACCGAAAAGAGAAAGTAGGAATTCTATTTAATCTCTCTTTTTGTATGATTAAGCTGTCTTAAAATTTTTAAGTTCTTCTCAAAATGGTTAATTGATTATTTGGTATTTCAATTTCAGTCCCACCCTGGAGGTTTCTTGTTCACAAAGTTTGGCAGCAACCAGACAGCATTGCTGGATCTTGCATTTCCGGTATGCATTACATTATGCAAAAATTATATACACATGCAAAAATTATATACTATCACTTTTGATGTGTTTGGGAGTAATTTTTCATGTCATCTCAGGATAACTTTGGTGGTAGACTGCAGGACAGGAACAAAGAAATGCCTAAATCAGTGAAACAAGTCACTAGGCTATTTCCTAACAAAGTGACCATCCAGTTACCTGAGGTCTGAGCCTTTACTTCTTCTTTTTTTCTTGTCTAGGGCCTTTTGATTTTTTTTTTTAATATCATTTTCTTGTGTACTTAAAAACATAATAGGATGAAGCTTTGCTGTTGGACTGGAAGGAAAAACTTGAACGTGATACAGAGATCATGAAGGCTCAAGCTAATATTACCAGCATCTGTGCGGTGAGTATCTATACAACGAAGTCCCATGTCTATCTAAAATGTTCCCTCTTTTTCTTCTTTTGTGCTTTCCTTATGTCTTTGTTAATGGTTCTTGCAGGTCCTTAGCAAAAACCGTCTTGCATGCCCTGACCTTGAAACCTTGTGCATCAAAGATCAAACCCTTCCTTCTGATAGTGGGCATCTTTAACTTTTTCTTTTCTCGTTCTTCCTTGAGCGTTTGGTTATTTGTCTAACCGAAAACTTTATGATTAATAGGTGTGGAGAAAGTAGTTGGCTGGGCTTTGAGTCACCATCTTATGAGCTGCTCAGAACCTACGGTCAAAGACAACAAGCTTATCATCTCGGCAGAAAGGTGAACTTCTTTGAATAGGAACTCTGAAATATAGATCCTGTAGTACAACTTGTATTGCACTTGTGATATATTCTTGTGAATAACCGTTTGGCGTGTATTGCTGCAGTATCACATCTGGCCTGCAGGTGTTGCATGGAATTCAAAACGAAAACAAGAGCACAAAGAAATCTCTCAAAGTAATATTCATGAATCTTATGTCATTTTGCATCCCAAGTAACTTCTGGATGTCTAACAGTTACGATCTTTATATTATTTCAGGATGTAGTTACTGAGAATGAATTCGAGAAAAAACTCCTGTCAGATGTCATTCCCCCAAGCGATATTGGTGTTTCTTTCAATGATATCGGGGCTTTGGAAAATGTGAAAGACACCTTGAAGGAGTTGGTGATGCTTCCTCTTCAAAGACCTGAATTGTTTGGCAAAGGCCAACTTACGAAGGTACCTTTTTCCCTATTGGTATTCATGTGTCTGTTTCACCCTCTTCTCTGGAAACTGAAATATAACTGTTTTTCTTTTCATGCAGCCTACAAAGGGTATACTGTTGTTTGGACCGCCTGGTACAGGGAAGACAATGTTGGCAAAGGCTGTAGCTACTGAGGCTGGTGCAAACTTTATCAATATTTCAATGTCCAGTATTACTTCAAAGGTATTTATTTCTTAAATTGTTACATTGTTAAGTAATACTTCCTCTGTGATTCTAACTTGACTGTTATATTTTTTTTTTTGGAATCTTGCAATTTCTTATTTAACTATGTTCATTGCAGTGGTTTGGTGAGGGAGAGAAGTATGTTAAAGCTGTTTTCTCTTTAGCAAGTAAGATAGCTCCAAGCGTCATTTTTGTTGATGAGGTATGTTGCAAGTCGTGAGCTCTCCTTGCATTATGCTTCTTTGAATGCCTTTTTCCCCTGTAATTTAGTTGGTTTCTCTATCTTTAACTTGGATTACATTTTCTTTTTCCTCTTGAATGGGAATGAAACTATCTAGGTTGATAGCATGTTGGGAAGGCGTGAGAATCCAGGAGAACATGAGGCTATGCGTAAGATGAAGAATGAATTCATGATAAACTGGGATGGTTTACGGACAAAGGATAGGGAAAGAGTATTAGTACTAGCTGCTACCAACAGACCATTTGACCTTGATGAAGCAGTAATTAGACGGCTTCCGCGAAGGTAATAAAGTGATAATTCTGTGTTTTCTGAATCTTTGTCATCTTCAGAGCAAGCACTTTAGAGTTCTATGTGTACATCTTATGTACAGGTTGATGGTTAATCTGCCGGATTCAGCGAACAGATCGAAGATCTTGAGCGTAATTTTGGCTAAAGAAGAGATGGCACAAGATGTAGATTTAGAAGCTATAGCAAGTATGACAGATGGGTACTCAGGGAGTGACTTAAAGGTGTGTAATTTCCTTCCATCCAAAGCAAAATCGTTTGGTTTCTTCTAAAAAACTCTACTGAATATAATCATTTTGGTTTGCAGAATCTTTGTGTGACCGCGGCACATCTTCCTATCCGAGAGCTACTAGAAAAAGAAAAGAAGGTTTGGCTCTGTTTTAAGGCATAATAATGGTGTTGTTAGTTTTTGTGGGGTTCCTTCTATAAATCAGAACTCAATGCTTTGTTTGATTCACAGGAGAAAAGTGTGGCTGAAGCCGAAAACCGACCAATGCCACAGTTATATAGCAGTACAGACATTAGACCGTTGAACATGAATGATTTCAAGGTCGCACATGAACAGGTTTGAGAGACTGAAACATCGAAATTAGTTTTCACATTTGGTCTGAAGTTTTGGGTTTTTAATGGATTCTTGTGGTGATTGTAGGTATGTGCGAGTGTGTCGTCTGATTCATCGAACATGAATGAGCTTCAGCAATGGAACGAGCTTTACGGAGAAGGAGGCTCGAGGAAGAAGACATCACTCAGCTACTTCATGTAAAAAAAAAGAGAAAACAGAGAGGTTTTGGGTTTTCTTCCTTCATGAAATATATATAAATCTCTCTTTGATCCTTTTAATTTATATAAATTTATGTAC